TTTTTTATTTTACTAGGTAAGGCCCCACTGAGCTATATGGCTCCTTTTCAGAAGCGACCTGGCTGCATATGGTAGCTCAAGGAAGTGACTTATCACGTGGAAATTGATAGCAGCCAAATACTCTAAACGTATGTTGATGCTAAATGTGGAGGGGAAACCGGAGCACCCGGAAAAAATCCACGTGACCGCTGGGAATGAGAACATGCAAACTCCAAATATACAGGTGTTGGGGTCGGGATCGAACCCACGGATCCTCCTGTACACTAGGAAAGCAGTTAACATCTCTCCAGGGCAGGACACCGCCTTACACCTGACCCCCCACACAGCCTGCTGTAGTGAAGGATGCTGTTGTAAAATGAAAAGAGCAAACGAAAATAATACAAACTAGATGTTTTAAAACAAGTTGGCAAAAAAAATCTACATCTGAGTTGAATCCTGCTAATTCATCTAACTGGGGGGGGGGGGGGTGCGGGGAAGGGGGGTGTGGGGGGGGGTTAATTGAGGGAGGTGAATTAATCCGAGCACAATTACTGGTCACGCCGCGACTGGCTGTGAGTGACCCAAGTGACCCAGCTACTTAACAGATATTCAACAGGAAAACATTTAACAAAATGTTTTTAAGCAATAAGCGATTCAACAGATTGGCATCGTTTACGGTGTGATTCGATGATTAATGTGATCACTTTTGTCCCATTTCCTTCGGGTGTAGTTTGTAACGCAGCCGCTTTTGCATTATTTCTCGTGCGTCACATGTATTTTATTAATAGATTTTAATCAATCGATTCTCACTGGCACGATTTGATTGGCGCGTCCTGAGTGTAAAGAATCGATTCTAAGTGGACAATTTGTCGCACGTCCGCTGAATATCCAATCGGCATCTGCTTAATTGAGCTATTCTTATGCATCGCAAGCGGACGTCTTGTCACTATAATTGGAGCGGAATGTGCGTTGCATCCTTTACACATCTGACACGTCCATGGAGGCCAAATTCGCAGCTTTTAAATTATATTTTTTCTGTCTCCTTGAAGTCACCGCATCGTCGGCTCCTCTGCAATCAGTTTCTTTCTTGTTGGGTTTTCCCGTCAATATTTCACCTGGAAAATGTACACTTGAACCAACGCCTTTCATCTGGTTTCAAATTGTACCAACGTTTTCTTTTCCCTTACCCGCTTGATCTCAGAAACGTTAGACATGCTTGTGCAGCGTTTTCGCTCGTTCAATTAATCATTTGCGTTAAGGAGTTCAACGTCCCCGGCATCCAAAAATCCTACCCGGGAGCTCTTTCACCTCCAACCAATTCAAGGTCCTCGTCACTTTAAAAGCGGGGACTTTTAAAGTGGCCGTCCCCCTTAAGGCGTCGTCGAGTCCTGGTTTCTCATTTCCCTCGAACCAAATGAGAGGCAACATTGGCCTCAAATTGGAGTTTCTGCGCTCGACTGCGGCGGAAAAGTACCAGCGCGGCCACCGACTTAGCACGGTGGGCTACGTACGGTGCGAAAGAAGTTCAACACGCATACGTACCTACGTGCATCGGCATCTGCGTAAAAACCACCCAGACCAGGATCTAGCTGCCCCGAGAACGCTCTCCGGGCCGTTGAGAACTCAAGTGGCGGTTTGCTAAATGGCTCCGTTGGTCATGGGCCTCGTTGCTTTCAAGATTTAAAATTGCACCCTTTTGTTCCACCGTTCGTGCGACCAATAAGGAAGCATGGTGCAGTGTGGTGGTGGCCGAGAGTGGCAAAGGTGAATCGGAGGACTCCGTGCTGTCATTCTTAGAAAAACCTTTACGTTTGTGTTCCGAGGTCACCGGGGCCGTGCTTGTGCTGCAGAAATATTCGTGGTTACAACGTTCTTCTCTGCCTCCGCGCGTTGGGCTTACCCCCCCGCCTGGCTTAAGGGAGAAGACCGCCTGAGTATCGATCCGACGTGGAAAGAAATGAATATATATTTTTGTTCCTCTTACACTTTTGTTTCAGAAGGATTTGTGCATTTCAATAAACGTGCCATCGCGCAAAGAGCAGCGGTGCACGACGGTTGCAGTAGTTTCTGTTTTGAGTCTTCTCTCCTGTCTGCCAGCGGTGTGGCGATGTTGGCAGGGGGGCGGTTGAATATTTTTGCCACAATGTGTGGGATGCTGTGTGAGGCCTGGAAATAATGCCTACTTTCGTGACACTGTTTATCCTATTCTTGGTTCTTTCGGTAAAGCCACCACGTAGAAGGGAAACAATAAAATAATAAAAATATAAAACAATAGAATTCTCACGACGTTTTGACTGCAACACAAGCAATCATCATCAGGTGTGAATCATCATCAGGTGTGAAAACCTGATGATGATTGCTTGTGGTGCAGTCCAAACGTCGTGAGAATTTTATTGTTTTATATTTTTAATTATTTTATTGTTTCCCTTCTACGTGACTTTACGGAAAGAACCAAGAATATGAATCCCTGCAGTTGCGAAAGCTTTACATCACTTTATCCTGTTCATTTTTCTATTGGAACATGCATACAACCGTTGGTGTTAGGGTATGGCCCGCTCTGAAATGGATATCAGAACATCCCCGGATGCTTCAAGTGGACCTCTGGTTCACACAGAAGGACTAAGTAGTTTCCAACCCACCTTGGCCACTGGGTTCGAACATTGCGTTCCGATTCGCCCAATTTGCGCGCGCTATAAATTGTTTAATTGTCTCATGACAGTTAAACTGGTACATTCATATTCAAATACCAAATTTTTCCCAAACCACAGCGTGCGTGCTGAAATAATTCGCTAGCAAAGCAATCGGCTCGCGCCCGTTTGAATTTATCACCCGCAACAATCGTATTGTCTAACTTGTCACGTCTACAATTTTTGTTGTAATGAAATTCTTGCTGGTTTGTGCTCTTGCCTTTTCATTGTTGCCTGTCATCCGGTAACGGATTTTTCTGCAATTACATTTTTTCCCCTCCCCAACCATTGAAACAACTTAAAGGGGCATCACGACATCTGAGACGTGTGTGGGAGGCGCGTTATCAAAGCCGGGAGGGGTGGTGTAGCGGCGGCAGTGTCGTGCACTGCAGCGTCGTTCTCTGCCAGACACGAGAGGCTCCTTCTTCTAAGTGATGCCGAGTTCGCCTTGACCCAGAAAGTCCACCTCTCTTCCCCGTGGACTGCTGCGAGGAGGATTGGCAATGTGTTTCGCCATCCCCGTGATTTTACTTTACCTCCTTGTATCTGCGTTTACGCCTCTGCGATTTACCGAAGCACTCCCTTTTGAAAGACGGGAAAATTTAAGTCTCTGTGGGCTCGTACGGGGTTGTAAATGAAGGTCAGGCACTGGTGTTGTTGTAAATGAAGGTCATTTACACCCCTCCTCGCCATTGTGTTCTGTGTCATCTCAAGAAACGGTTGCGATTTATCGTTTTGGAAGCTCCGTGAGTGAGCCCTCTGTTACTTGCGTTCAATTATTCAAGCACTGCGTTTGTATTGTGCGCTGTTAGAAATGTCTATATTTGCCGAGTGTGTATTTTGAAGAGTGTGTGTGTGTGTCTGTGTGTCTATAAGCCACTGCGTGGGGTTTTGAAGTAGTGCTCATTATACTGCACTGAAATAGCAGCTGCCTGGGTTTAGTTGCTGGCAGTCACAACACCAGTGCCTGTTTTTGTCCGGGCCTTGCCTATATCTACTCGGCATTCAATTGGTGCCAGGTGTGGTGCTGTGACCACACACCACCACTATGTACACGCCTTGCTAGATGGCCATGAGATGACAACCGCACAGATCGTCCGTGTGGACATTTTGAGGTTTATTCTCTTGCTATACAGTGCTTGGGTTTTCTCCGGGTTTTATGGTTAAATACACACACAAAACACCCCTGAGCAATTTGATAAATATTTGCATGCAGGGCCTTCCTAAAGAGTCTTCCAATTACCTCCCAACCTTCTTCTGGCTATTAAATGGCATTATTATTACCAGCGCTTGCCTCAGCTTGCTATTACCAGGTTATAATTTACTTGATTTGATTAACTGAGTTGCAGTCAATTGATAGGATGTATATAAACGTGTGCGTTGTTCCAATAAAACATAACCTACTTGATGGCAGAAGACATGTATATCCCTTTCATATTTTGTAAATAAATGCATTTGGTGCACAGTGAGTTTAGAGTCCCCAACTAAGCTACACATGGTAGGTCACATGTCATCGCAGGGAGGTATAATCTGTGGTTTCGAACCCTGTGGGTATGAACCCTGGTAACCCCAAGGTGGATTCCTGGCCAAGGCTGATATCGGTGGAAAAAGTGACATTCAAAACTAAAACCGTTTTTATTTTACCCGGTAAGCCCCCACTGAGATCTTGGCTCTTTTTTTTTTAAAAGAAGCAACCTGGCCACAAATGATTGCTTCCAACGAAGTGGCTTATCCCGTGAATATTTATAGCAGCCAAATACTCTTAAACGCATTTTTCTAAATGTCGAGGGGAAAAAAAAAACTGAGTACCCGGAGAAAACTCTGTGACCACGGAGAGAGATGCGCTAACTCCAAATATACAGCAGCAGGCGTAAGGGTCGGGATCAAACCCACGACCTCGGGCGTACCAGGCGAGGTTAGTAAACATTTCTCAACCGTGGAAGATGTTCGACCCCTTCCGCCCACCACCCTTTTGAGTAGCCTGCTGTGACCAGCGCGGTGAAGTATGGTGAAAAAAAATCATCCTCATGACCGACGAGGCATCACAAAGAGAATATTTATTTTGACTGCAGGAGGATTCCGATGAGCTATGAAGCTCTTTTTTTTTCACATGTCCAGTGGAGGTGAGTCAGAAAGCTCTCTGCATCCATTGGTGGATTGAGATTGTCTCTATGAAAGCATTGACCTAGAAACCCCTGTTTTGGGATGAGTTTTTTGTAACGGTTCTTGCGTCGCGAATGGAACGCGCGCACAATGGTTTCCCAACCGCTGACCCGAGCTGGTGCACTTGTGTTCCTCTCTCTCTTTCCCCTCTCCCTCCCTTCCTGACCACAGGCGGAAGGCTTTCCTCTTCTCCATCGCGTACCTGGTGCTCATCTTCTGGGGGCAGCATGCCATGAAGCAGCGGCCCAAGTTTGAGCTCCGGAAGCCGCTCATGCTGTGGTCCTTGAGCTTGGCGCTGTTCAGGTGAGAAGGCCGGTGTCAGGGGGAGACACTGAAGGGCGGGGGAGGGGAGGCCCTCACCCATCGATCCTCTGTCGTCGTCACCGTCATCACGCTGCTGTCGGTTCTAGCGAAACACGACCATCACGTGGCACGTGTTGTATCTCGAGAACCAAAAGGATGAGCAATAGGCCAAATATCTACAAAAGAAATCCCCCACCCTGCCCTACTCCAAAATGCATTTTTTGTTTTGGGAGGGTGTGACCCAACCCAGAGAGAGGACAAAAACGTTGAATGGCGGGACTGATCGCTTGCGAGTTCTCACGAGATACGCCGAGTTGTTCGTCTTCGACACCAAACGATCCGTTACTGCGTCGGGGTCGGCTGCTTGGACTCTCGTTCTCCGTGCGACCTCTACTCTGCTGTGCCTCTTCTTTCGACGGAGCTGCTGTCCCCAGTTATAGCGGAAGAGAAGAGAGTGTCATATGAAGTGGAGGTTGGGGCGGGGGAGTCTGATTGGATGAGATGGGAACTTTAGCCAGCAGAAAACTCAATATAACACTATTTATCCAGGTATCTTGTGGGTCATTGTCTCGTCTTCATAGCAGAGAGAACTTGAAAAAGCCAGAATATCATTAAAGGATGTGCAATGGCTTTAATTCCTCCAGTGTTTTCAGGGCACTGCATTTTAAAGTGATGTAAGGAAAGACCATGGCCTAATACAAAAATTAAAATGTCACCAATTCTCAAGACTTTTTTTTTCAGGAGGGCCCTGCATTGGAATATTTGGCGACTTAATTCGTGAGTATTTTGCCTTACGGGAGGAATCCAGATCGCCCAGAAACACAAATAATTCGGCAACAGCCACTGCCTTTGCTGCGTATTGAAGGGAATGCTGGCGCGAGTGGGCAAAGCTCGGGAGCTGTGCGGCTCTGTCGCGCAGTGTAAATATTGAAAGGAATGTTCAGCAGAGGCAGCACTTGATCCTGTGTCTCTTGCTGCGACGTTGCTAGCTTCTCAGTTTTCACTGCGACGTGGTGCTGTGAAGCTGTGTGTTATGTGCAATGTCGTGGTCCCAGGGCTATGTACAGTGAGGGGAAAAAAAGTATTTGATCCCCTGCTGATTTTGTATGTTTGCCCACTGACAAATAAATGATAAGTCTATAATTTTAATGGTAGGTTTATTTGAACAGTGAGAGACAGAATAACAAAAAAATTCAGAAAAACGCATGTCAAAAGTGTTCTAAATTGTCTTCTTTGGTTCTTTCGGTAAAGTCACGTAGAATGAGAATAAAATAATAAATTGATAAAATAAAATAACACAATAATATTCTCACTTATAAATTGATTTGCATTTTAATGGGGGAAATATGTATTTGACCCCCTCTCAATCAGAGATTTCTGGCTCCCAGGTGTCTTTTATACAGGTAACGAGCTGAGATTAGGAGCACACTCTTAAAGGGAGTGCTCCTAATCTCAGCTTGTTACCTGTATAAAAGACACCTGTCCACAGAAGCAATCAATCAGATTCCAAACTCTCCACCATGGCTAAAACCAAAGAGCTCTCCAAGGATCAGGGACAAGATTGTAGACCTACACAAGACTGGAATAATGGGCTACAAGACCATTGCCAAGCAGCTTGATGAGAAGGTGACAACAGTTGGTGCGATTATTCGCAAATGGAAGAAACACAAAAGAACTGTCAATCTCCCTCGGCCTGGGGCTCCATGCAAGATCTCACCTCGTGGAGTTGCAATGATCATGAGAACGGCGAGGAATCAGCCCAGAACTACACGGGAGGATCTTGTCAATGATCTCAAGGCAGCTGGGACCATAGTCACCAAGAAAACAATTGGTAACACACTATGCCGTGAAGGACTGAAATCCTGGAGCTCTTTGGCATCAACTCAACTCGCCGTGTTTGAAGGAAGAGGAATGCTGCCTATGACCCCAAGAACACCATCCCCACCGTCAAACATGGAGGTGGAAACATTATGCTTTGGGGGGTGTTTTCTGCTAAGGGGACAGGACAACTTCACCGCATCAAAGGGACGATGGACGGGGCCATGTACCGTCAAATCTTGGTTGAAAACCTCCTTCCCTCAGCCAGGGCATTGAAAATGGGTCGTGGATGGGTATTCCAGCATGACAATGACCCAAAACACACGGCCAAGGCAACAAAGGAGTGGCTCAAGAAGAAGCACATTAAGGTCCTGGAGTGGCCTAGCCAGTCTCCAGACCTTAATCCCATAGAAAATCTGTGGAGGGAGCTGAAGGTTCGAGTTGCCAAACGTCAGCCTCGAAACCTTAATGACTTGGAGAAGATCTGCAAAGAGGAGTGGGACAAAATCCCTCCTGAGATGTGTGCAAACCTGGTGGCCAATTACAAGAAACGTCTGACCTCTGTGATTGCCAACAAGGGTTTTGCCACCAAGAACTAAGTCATGTTTTGCAGAGGGGTCAAATACTTATTTCCCTCATTAAAATGCAAATCAATTTATAACACTTGGCATGCGTTTTTCTGGATCTTGTTGTTGTTATTCTGTCTCTCACTGTTCAAATAAACCTACCATTAAAATTATAGACTGGTCATTTCTTTGTCAGTGGGCTAACGTACAAAATCAGCAGGGGATCAAATACTTTTTTCCCTCACTGTATGCATGGAAGGCGTGATGAGAGTCTGTTCCCTTCCTGCTGTCGGTGAGCACGCCTTTGTGTGTTTAAGATCAAAGTTGTTGACATAGTTATTCTTGTCTTTATTGCCCTGACTTGTGCAACTTCTTTTTTCAAGTCCCGTCAGTGACTTGGTCCATAAAATGTTTCGAAATCAACTTTGAACCTTCAATACACTACGTCAGTTTAAAATCAGCTAAGAGCCAATTGATTGATCAACGATTACAATGGAGAAAAACAAATTTACATTTTAGACATAATTGTGTGGCTTTGTGGGTACTGCGCTATAACCCAAGCAAGCAGAGTTCAATCTCCCTGGTCATGGCTAGCGTCACCTGCGAATGATATCTGAACCTACCTTGGACCCGGCCCCCTCCTTTGCCAATCCACGCTCGGCAGTACGCCGAGGTATTGACGACCAAAACCTCGTGACCAACAGCGGCGTTGGAAAAGGCCCTCATCCCCTCACCGGATTGAAAAACGAGGGCAAATATTCAAGTTGCGTGTTTCTTATAGCTTTCTTCACTGTCGAGTTCTTGGAATTCTTTTTCATGTGTCTCTCCGTCAAAGGCGACACAAACAGGGATAATTTAGTAAGCTGTTGTTGCTTACCCTGTGATTATCTTGATTTTGGGTGGTTTTCAGGATGTCCATTATTCCGTTGTGACCAAATTGGAAATCGATTTAATCATCTCACGATAACTGCCCCTCTAACAGAAAAGCAAGGTGTCGGTTTAAAAAAAAAAACAGGGGTCAATGGTTGTAAAATAAAAAAAATCCATCCTTGGTCCGAGTGTCGGTAAAAATAACTCCTTTGCTCGTTAGTGCTGATAGGGTGCGCAGCAGCAGCAGGCATGTAACGATCCCCCCCCCCCCCCCCGCCAGTATATGGATGGGCCGGGATTCGACTTGAAAATCCGTCTTTTTTTTACCTCTTTGCTTTAATTACATTTTTTTAAATTGTTGGTTGCGTCTCATTTGTGCCGATTTTTATTTGGTCTATTGGCCGAAAAGTATATACATTTGCAGAATCCATAACTCGTATATTCCTATTTGCACATTTTTGACGTGTGGAGAACCGTAAGCTTGAATAAATGTAATCAGTTTTTTTAATAATGCGTTTTTATCCCCCTGGTCACGTGTGTGCAAGATTTTGCCAACGCTGACTGGTTTGTTCCCTCTCTCCGCGCGCTTTTCCCCTGCAGCATCATCGGCGCCGTGCGAACCGGCGCGTACATGTGGTACATCCTCTCCACCAACGGCCTGCAGCAGTCTGTGTGCGACCAGAGCTTCTACAACGGGCCCGTCAGCAAGTTCTGGGCCTACGCTTTCGTGCTGAGCAAGGCCCCCGAGCTAGGTAAGCCCTGGGGCCTGGGAACCGGGCTGACCTTTTGCGTCACGTGCTCGCAGGTAAAGGAAGGGAGTGGCACTGAAGGGGGACGACCACACAAATAAATTACCGCCGTCACGTCATGGCCATGTTTGGTAGACATTTAGTGATTCGCCTATTACGTGGTTTGTTGAATTGTGACGATTTCGTGGTCACAATTCCATTCGTGGGTTGCTATTTAATTTGTTTACCGTTATGGTTGAATGCATTGCCTATGGCAATAATAATAATATACTTATTATTTACCCAAGAAGCCCTCTTTCAAGAGCCCTGTGTTACAATTTGTAGCCAGTATTATTTACGAGTGTCTGGCATGTGGGAGCGAGCTGCAGTACCTGGAGAAAATACATACGGGGGGATCACACTCAAAGCTACGCACAGGTCAATTCAATCCACAGGCGGACTCAATCCTGGCCCCTTGCAGTCACAAAACCTTCAACACCTGGTTACGCACCTGTGGTCACTCCATTCCCTCCTCACCTTCCGAGATCGTATGATAACTCGTGCGCATTCATGGTGATTTAAACTAAACTGTAAACTATTTTTTATCTTACCAGGTGAGGCCCACTGAGATTTTTTAGCTCTTTTTCAGAAGCGACCTAGCCACAAATGATAGCTCAATTAAGTGGCTTATCACGTGGGAATTTATAGCAGCCAAATACTCTAAATGTATGCTTCTAAATGTGGAAGGAAACACCAGAGGACACGGAGAAAAATCCACACGACCACGGGGGAGAGAGAGAACACGCAAACTCCAAAATATACAGCTGGCGTCAGGGTCGGGATCGAGCCCACGACCCCCTGTATACCAGGCGAGGTAGTCAACATCTCGCCATCGCGCTTGTAGGCTAAAACCCCTGGCTGTGTGAAGTCAAGAGTGGGTTACGCGGTAGGCTGACGCAGAGCGCCTGCCCACCGCGAGAGGTTCCATTTCACGGCACGACACGGGAAGCACGGCTACTGGAACATAACGTTGGGAAAACAAAAAGGACCCCACCACCGCAGGGTGCAGGGGGGGGGGATGGAAGATAAACGAGCAGAAAAAAATGCAACGCAACGGTGTTGGCAGCCAACTCTGCACGAGCCTCGGCGCTGTCAAGCTCGTGCCGTTTTTTTTGTTTGCCCTCCGCTCGTGCGAAGCTGGGCTGGAGCGGCAATTTTGTAAAACTGCCTCGTAGGCAGGCCTGCCCTTGTCCTCCCGACTGCCGTGTATCACGCGCCAGCGCTTGGCTGCCAGGAGCGTGTGTACAGGGGGGGTAGCAGAGGGCACGAAGCCAACAACCCTGGCAAAGGCGGGATCCCCCCCCCCCCCCTCCTGGCCCACCAGCGCGATCAAATATGCAACCGTTACAAAGCGGTGTCATTCGATCCCGACCCCTTGACGCCTTTATATTTGGAGTTTGCGTGTCTCTCTCCCCGTGGTCGTGTGGCTTTTTTTTCCCGGGTCCTCCGGTATTTCCCTCCCACATTGAGAATCCACATACGTTTAAGAGTGTTTGGCTGTTTTCACACGATAAGCCACTTATTTGGGCTATCATTCGTGGCCAGATCGCTTCTGAAAAAAAAAGCTATGAAGCTCAGTGGGCCATACTTGGTAAAATAATTAGTTTAAAATGTTTTTGCTCGGCGTCTGGCCACGAAGTCGTCTGTCGCGGCTGCGCAGAGGCTCGTGAGCCGTCCTGGCGATTACATTTTTATTTATTTAACCAAATGTAATATATATTTTTTTACACCCTTCAGCCGCCGATGCGACATCCTTACGCACGCCGTCTAGGAATTAAACAAAGTAATCCCACGTGATTCAGTTGTGTACGAGGTTCGAAATTTACATGAAAGGGATATTTAGTTTTTTCTGTCCTTGGGTTATTAAATTTCCCAGCTCGTGCATGCTGTGCACGCATTGCAATGCACCGTGGGTGAAGAAGCTGATGAATTTGTCAAACATAACAGTACATCCTGTGCGTTGGCACACGTTGGCACAGTGCATGCGAATCCTGCATTGCATTTATAACAGCAACTAAGTGGGGCCTGATATAATGGGACTAATATTGTACTTGATTAGGCGCTTTCGTGACTGCAAGAATTACTCTTTGTTTTTTTTCGGTAAATTCACGTAGAAATAATAAAAAATAAAATTATATAATAGCATGCTATTATATAAAAATAAATAAAAATAAAATTATATAATAGCGTGCTATTATAATTATATTTTTTATTATTTCTACGTGACTTTACCGAAAAAACCAAAGAGTAAAGACTAATATTGTATTTATTTGGTTTAATATATTTACCAGCTTTGGTTGTTACATTATCACTGCTGCCTCTGTTCTGTACCTTCATTCGATCGCTCTCAACGTCCGTTTATTTTTAATTCTTTGCACCTCTGCCTCTTTCTCTCCATCTCTCTGCCCATCTGATCATCTGCTCCTTGAACCTCGCATCTGGTTTGCCTGCCTCGCTACCTGAATTTATCTTTCTATCCCCCCCCCCCCCCCCGTCTCGTTGTGTACATTCCTCTCCCTGTCTCACCGTCCCTCTCCATCTCCCACCCCGTGCATCCCATTGCTTCACTCCTTCAACGTCAACCTCTTCCTACATTCTCCCCAACTCAACGCCTCCCCCTTACCCCCCCCCCTCCCTCCATCCTCCCCCCACCCCCCACATTCCCTGGCGCGCGCACGCAGGAGACACCATCTTCATCGTGCTGCGCAAGCAGAAGCTGATCTTCCTGCACTGGTACCACCACGTGACGGTGCTGCTCTACTCCTGGTACTCCTACAAGGACATGGTGGCCGGCGGCGGCTGGTTCATGACGGTCAACTACGGGGTGCACGCCGTCATGTACTCGTACTACGCGATGCGCGCCGCCGGCATGCGAGTGCCGCGCCTGCTCGCCATGCTCATCACGACCACGCAGATCGGGCAGATGGTGCTCGGCTGCTTCGTCAACGTGCTCGTCTACCGCTGGATGCGCCAGGGCCAGTGCTCCTCCTACGTGGAGAACATCGTGTGGTCCTCGCTCATGTACTTCAGCTACCTGCTACTCTTCTGCCACTTCTTCTACGACGCCTACCTCAGGCCGCAGAGGAGAAGCCTCAAGATGGAGTGAGCGCGTCCCGCCACGCACCCCCCCCCCCCCCCCCCCCCCCCCCCCCCGCCACACCAAGGGAGAGACGGACGGAGGGAGGGGGATTTTAGTTGAGGCGACTTGGTGAGTCGTTGAGGTCTGTGAGGAGAGAGGTGTGTTGCCTTCCCATGCCCCCCCTGGGTGTCGTGATCCTGCCCGCTTGCTGGTTTGGCCACTCGCCCCACCGGCTCACCTGCCCCCACACCTTACACCGCCCCCGCCCATTCTCCCTCCCGTTCGTCCGTCCATCCCAGGCCAGCCTCCCTTACCCCTCCCCTCTCATCCTTCCGGATTGGCATTTTCCTGAAATATTCTCCGGCACCTGGGACGACCGGACGCGTCCATCCTGAGGTTTAAAACGGACACTAAGCGGAGCAAAAGTCTTCTTCCTATCTCACCAGACGGTTTTACTCACACACAACGCTTGTAGGACATAATGTACTGTGAAGAGAAGCAAATTTTAAAATGATATATAGTTGTTTTGGCGTGTTTGTTGCCAATTCATCGTGATTTTTTTCGTGTTCTGTTTATTTAATTGGATAATCAAACGCATTCCGATCGTTTCCTCTTATACGTCACCAATTCAACCCCCCACCCACCCCCCCCCCCCACCGGCCCCATTAAACTGCTCGTGCCGATTCCCCCCACCCCGTGTTGAGCCGCGTCGCCTAAATCTGGCAGTGAGGCTGTGGGCCAGACCCCCCCCCACCGAGCACGCTCGAGCCTCCACCTCGAGCGTGTGTGCTCCGTCCGTGCTCGGCGCGTGAGAAGGAGTTTGTGTTGTATACTGACCGACTTGGCCAAGCCCCACGTGGCCAGTGCATGGAAGAGGGAGGGAGGAGGTGGGGGCGGTGGCGGGCCCTGCACATGCCTCTAGGAATGGCGCGCGGCTCGGGGACAGTCTAAATGCTCTGACGTGGTACGAACCCAACGCTTGACTTGTTAATGAATCTATCCCCCCCCCACCCCCCACCTCAGTCCCATGTGCTGATCACGTGTGATAATAGATTCAATGCAATGATGTTCGGTTTACCCGTTGTTGACTGTCCACGCAAGTCCGTTGGCGCTCCTTCCCAAACCGTTTTGACTGCTCCGAGTGCACGCGTTCGTCACAAGACGAGAGAGCCCGCTTACCTTGAGGTGACGGGTGGCTTTTGTGAACCTGGTCCAGACCTCCTCGCCTAGGTCAACTCGACCTAAAATGAACACCTGTTCGTGATTTGGCCCCACCGTGCCCCCCGCCCATCTATCCCCTCTTGTGCGACGCGCTGGCCTTGATAGGTTATTGCTCGCAGCACGTGCCTGATACAAACACCCCCCCCCCCCCCATAGCCTTAACAGACTGGCAGGGCAAGTGTTAGGCAAGCAACTATGAAGGCCGGCACGGCACACGAGGGGGTGGGCGGCCAGCACCACGCCCGGCCGCGCCTATGTCTTCCTCTTAGAGATGTTTACAAACCACACGAGGTACTCATTTGAGGCAGTCTACCTAGGGGGAGACCCGTGACCAGTTCAGATAATCGTTGCTGGTTGGTGTTGGCTGTTGGTGGGAATCAAACTCTGGTTGCCGGGTTTGTAGCGCAACGCGCTAACCGCTATACTACCGCTCCCCTGTTATGATTTGGCCCCACCATACCCCTCCCTCTACCTATCCCCTCTTTGTGTAACGTGCTGGCCTTAAATAGGTTATCGCTCTGGGCACGTGCCTGATTTGCACGCGCGCGCACACATCCACATCCACACTCACACGTGCATACCATGTACAAAGTTTACTGGGGAAAAGACGAAAAGTGCAGAGGGTGCGGCTGTCCCATCCTTTACATTTGAGAAGCAGTCGTGGAGCAGTTCGGACGTCTCCTAACCGCGGCTGCGAGACGCCGACATGGAATCGAGCGCCCTTCCCTCCCACTGCGTCCGCCGTGGGGCTGAAGCCCCCCCCCCCCCCCCACAACTCCCCTCGCTCTCCGACCGCGACCACTTCGAGCGGAATTTCCGCACGGGCTCCTCCACCCCTTCCCCATGCGCCGCCCTCCCGTGAACCCGGACGCTCTCTCATGAACGACGATCTCGTTCGTCCATGCAGCTCACTCACCGTCACGGTGCCGATTAAGGAACACCGCTGGTGCGCTCGCTCGCTCGGCTGGGGGGGGGGGGGGGTCTGCCCTGCGTCAGGGACGCGGTCAATTTATTCCCGTGGTTTTCAATCCCCTCCCCCCCCCGCCTCGTCTCTGAATGCTTTAATGTACCAAATGTTGATTCGTCCAAATGTATCATCGGGGGCTCTGTTATTGAAATGAGAAAAGAAAATGTCCTACGTGGTTTTTGGGGGTTTTTTTTTCCTCTGCGGAATCATGAAGATTTGCTTTCGTGGTCTCAACGGTCAAAGTTGCAATCGCTTCTGCTCGTCCCCTCCCAGCGAGGGTTTACTCGTCCGTGGATTTGTTTTTTTTTTTTAAACAAACATCCATGTTAAAAAAAAAATAATGTTAATAAAATAAACTTTCTGTTTTACCCCCCCCCCCGCCCGTTCCCCCAAAGGAACCATTTTTTTTACTTTCCTCGTGCTGACGTTGCATTTAATGTCGGGGCTGACGAGCGATTTTTTTTTTTTGTGATCCACCTTCCGGCGAGATGAACGAGTCCCCAACCGAGGCCGACTCGACCTCACGTCGAGAGCAGTTGATGCAAATCGTGCCGCACTCGCTCGCGGCTCCGGTGCTCCCTTGCATTGCCCTCGCGACCCTCTACGTTGGTAGAGAGTTGGGGCCCACTGCAATAATCTCTCTGCGTGTCATCAGGGCTGACAGCCGGAGGCGGGGGTGGCAATGTTAGATGGATGGGGGGGGGGGGGGTGGGGGGCGAACGTTCTTTTGCAAATGCAGCTCTGTTGGTTTCGGTTGCCTTTTGAATGTTTGATTTCCATTTTAAGCAGTACCTCCTGTTGTTATAAGGGCTACGGTTGCGCGTCTTCACGTGCGGCGCAGTTATGATTTCGTTTGTTTGTGCGCGTGTGTGTGTGTGTTACGCGGTGGTGTCGTGGTTAGCGCTACGAACCCGGCGGCCAGAGTTCGATTCCCGCTCACGGCCAACACCGGTGACGATTATCTGAACCGATCCTGGGCCTCCCCTAGGTCGACTCGGCCTCAGGAGTACCTGGTGCGGTGTGTAAAAACATCGCCACTGGGGAGACGAACGCGGTCGGGCGTGGTGTTGGCCACCCAACCCCCTCGTGTGGGATCTTTGTTTTTGAGTTGCGCAAGAGCACCATGGCTCAACATTCACCACAGCTTGCTTGGTTTCCCCCCGTCTGATGTGTGATTCCCGTTGTGTTTATAATGACGAATGACAATTGAACCACCTCTCCCAACAACCCCGTCGGCCACCCCACCTATCCCAGAAACAATGCAATATGCTGCCTACAATAGCCAACAGTTGTGGCCTCATCATAGCTGCCAATGCGAGTGTTTGGGATTAACTTTGAATAACATTATCGTTCAATGTGGAAGGGTGGGGACGAACCATTTTTCATGATTGATAGGTATTTTTTGCACAAACCATCTCTGATCATTTTTATTAGTCCCACTTTAATCCTATGGGATTATGGATCAGCCGTAGTCTTGGAAGTCACATTTGAAAGGGTATTTTTTTTATTTGCGACACGCATGCGACCAAATGTATCTGCGCGTGCGTATGGCATGGACCTCAAGTTGACCATAAAGCTTCAACATTCGTTCCTGGTGGCTTTGTACGACGAGAATTTGAACTTTGAAACGACGCTTGCTCTTAATTTATTTTCTGCACACAAATTATTTTGCTTCTACCCTGGGTGTTTTGTAATTTCCACTTGGTCGGTATTTGTTACGTTAACAAAAAATATATAAATGCCCCCTTGATCTTTTTGACATCCCGGCAAAAGTAAAAACCCCAACATTGTTGGAAATAAAAAGAAGTGTTTAATTTATATTGCGTGCTTCGTAATCAGATTAATATTAACGGCAGGTGGGGTGGGCGGGAGGTCCGTACGTTTTTATGACGCTTTTTCGACGTATTGCATACCTGCTTACAGTGAGGGAAAAAAGTATTTGATCCCCTGCTGATTTTGTACGTTTGCCCACTGACAAAGAAGTGATCGGTCTATAATTTTAATGGTAGGTTTATTTGAACAGTGAGAAACAGAATAACAACAAAAATCCAGAAAAATGCATGTCACATGTTATAAATTGATTTGCATTTTAATGAGGGAAATAAGTATTTGACCCCCTCTCAATCTGAAAGATTACTGGCTCCCAGGTATCTTTTATACAGCTAACGAGCTGAGATTAGGAGCACACTTAGAGGGAGTGCTCCTAATCTCGGCTTGTTACCTGTATAAAAGGCACCTGTCCACAGAAGCAATCAATCAGATTCCAAACTCTCCACAATGGCCAAGACCAAAGAGCTCTCCAAGGATGTCAGGGACAAGATTGTAGACCTACACAAGGCTGGAATGGACTACAAGAACATTGCCAAGCAGCTTGGTGAGAAGGTGACAACAGTTGGTGCGATTATTCGCAAATGGAAGAAACACAAAAGAACTGTCAATATCCCTCGGCCTGGGGCTCCATGCAAGATCTCACCTCGTGGAGTTGCAATGATCATGAGAACGGTGAGGAATCAGCCCAGAATTACACGGGAGGATCTTGTCAATGATCTCAAGGCAGCTGGGACCATAGTCACCAAGAAAACAATTGGCAACACACTATGCCATGAAGGACTGAAATCCTGCAGCGCCCGCAAGGTCCCCCTGCTCAAGAAAGCACGTATACATGCCCGTCTGAAGTTTGCCAATGAACATCTGAATGATTCGGAGGACAACTGGGTGAAAGTGTTGTGGTCAGATGAGACCAAAATGGAGCGCTTTGGCATCAACTCACTCGCCGTGTTTGGAGGAGGAGGAATGCTGCCTATGACCCCAAGAACACCATCCCCACCGTCAAACATGGAGGTGGAAACATTATGCTTTGGGGGTGTTTTTCTGCTAAGGGGACAGGACAACTTCACCGCATCAAAGGGACGATGGACGGGGCCATGTACCGTCAAATCTTGGGTGGGACCCTCCTTCCCTCAGCCAGGGCATTGAAAATGGGTCGTGGATGGGTATTCCACTATGACAATGACCCAAAACACACGGCCAAGGCAACAAAGGAGTGGCTCAAGAAGAAGCACATGAAGGTCCTGGAGTGGCCTAGCCAGTCGCCAGACCTTAATCCCATAGAAAATCTGTGGAGGGAGCTAAAGGTTCGAGTTGCCAAACGTCAGCCTCGAAACCTTAATGACTTGGAGAAGATCTGCAAAGAGGAGTGGGACAAAATCCCTCCTGAGATGTGTGCAAACCTGGTGGCCAACTACAAGAAACATCGGACCTCTGTGATTGCCAACAAGGGTTTTGCCACCAAGTATAAGTAATGTTTTGCAGAGGGGTCAAATACTTATTTCCCTCATTAAAATGCAAATCAATTCATAACATTTTTGACATGCGTTTTTCTGGATTTTGTTGTTGTTATTCTGTCTCTCACTGTTCAAATACACCTACCATTGAAATTATAAACTGATCATTTCTTTGTCAGTGGGCAAACATACAAAATCAGCAGGGGATCAAATACTTTTTTCCCTCACTGTATAACAGTTAAATCTCCCCAATGCGACCCGGACTGGGTGGGGGGGGGTAGTGGTTATGTGGGGCCGTTTGGTGTGTGGGACGTGGAGAGTGCCGTGTTTGTTGCGAGTCGCTGGTTTTGAGACCTGGCACCAGAACGCCAGGTTGTATATCAGGCTTCTTGCGGGTCCAAAACTATTTAAAGTAAAAACGAAAACGTTGAAGCCTACATCACCCAACAGCCAATGATATTCCAAAAAATTTATTGCACACCGCTCCTTCGGGTTTATAATAAAAATGTCAACCACACGCACAACGCAGCATTTGTGATGGCATCAATGTTAGGCATCTTAACGATTCGCCTGTCTTGATATTTCGTGGAAGTGTCACGATGTTAGATCTGGCTTTGATTTAAGATGTATTTTTTTTCAAACATGTTTGCATTGTTGTTACATGTGCCCCTTGCTGGCTGGAGGCGTTGCCGTGACTCCATTACCACAGATATGAAATTAACTAAATAGATTATTTTATACACACACGATTCAAAGCATTGTACCGTGAGTGTTGGGCTCCGTTTTTATTAATATGTGCATCATTACACGCCTAATGTTGGTAATGGCACGTCGCGGGTGCTTGAAAATGTACTCGTGACGACAGGCTATATATTATACATCGCATCCTTTTTGTTTTAATATCTGGGCCAATATCGGATGTCGTCGGCTCGTGAAATTTCGTTTGCGATTGACTGGATAGGAAGCGTGAGTGCCACTCTCATTTCCCCGCCCGTTCACTTTCCAAAATTTACTTCCCCCCCCCCCAACAACAAATAATAATAAAAACGAATTATTTTGTTTTGGTCAAAGCTCGCCACGAATTCCACCCGGTAACGGGACAGCGGTCAGGGGGGACGGTCACGGGGCAGCGGTGAGGCAGCGGCGAGGTGATGGTCACGGGGCCCGGCCGGCGTCGTCGTTTGCCTCGCCTTTTGTGAGCGAGCGAGTGTCACGTGACGTTAGTCCACCACCACCACCCCCCTCGCCGTCTTTGCAGAGGGACCAGGGCGTACTGTCCACCCCGGGCCCCGCTATCCCGGCCTAGCAGCACCCCACCACCCCCGTTGCGCCGTGGCCAATCTTCCCATCCGTGGTGAAAGCGTTCGTCGGGCAGCGTAAGTTCTTTCTTATTATTTTTAGTTACTGACCAATGACTGAATGAAATCCATCGAGCACGACTAGGATTATAATTACGACAACCCCCATCTCGACCTAAAGACCTGAGCGTGACTGACTATGGGAACAAAACCAACCGGTCGGAATGAAGCCTCGGGCTAAGCATGAAGTAAGTAGCGTGATTTGTTTTTTTAGAGACTGCAGTGCGCGGAGGAATACCGCAAAATTGTAATCTCCTGCGAAACATTTACAGAGTTTACGGATCTGCCGACCTAAACGCATTTGGCTGGGGGCAGCGGTGTGGGATTATGGGTCGCCCCCCCCCCCCTCGCACCAGCGTTTAGTGTCGAAGAAGGGGACACGTTTTTACAGCTTTTAGTTTTAACGCGTGGTAGTTGGCTTTCGCTACCAATATTCATCATAGAGGGGAGGGCGCGGGTGGGGGGGGGTTAGATCGCGTAAAATGTCTTTAAACCCGCCACCAGCTGACACAGCCAATTAGAAAGTTTTGTCACGTAAACAAAACAATGGCAATTGGTTGCCACTTCAGCACAGCGGTGTGTTTGAGACTAACCCCACAACGGTTTCGACGGTAATTATAACAACCACAACCTCATCAGGCGACGGCCAGAATTGTGGATAAATCCTCGTCCTGTTTTCGTCTTAAATGGAGGGGGTTAATGTGATGTCGTCACGGTGAGCTAAATTATGTAATCCTATAAATGACAATGGACCGCGATTATTTGGTTAGTCGACTAACAGACTGCATGAAATCCATTGCTGAAGACTCTGCTAAAATTCCACAAGTTGT